TACATATTTGCCAAAAATGCCAATTATCAATAGTACTGCCAAAAAATGCCCATTTATTAAGTTACCACTTAAAGTTTTTCAAACACACATTTATTTTACCAGATTCTTCTCTTAGCTTAGAGGAGAATTAGGTAAGAACATTGATAAAAAAATGGGTACACAAATTTATTAACTATAAATATGAAAATAATTATTTCTTAAAATAAGTAAATTAAATGCAGACTCTAGAATTATTGAATTGGTAATCAACAACCAGTACCAAAATTAAAAGTATAAGATAATACTACCTCTATCTCAAATTATAAGGTACTTTTGAAGGAGTTTTTCCGTCCCAAAATATAAGACACTTTAGATAGATTAATGTTTCGTTAAATGCACCAATTTCAATATTACCATTTCTCTCTCTATAATTAATTTCCATCCTTTTTCTTTTTAATATATTAAATGATCGGTATTTTTAAAAGTTTATATTTTTGTTTTGAAAAAATAAAATTGTTAAGTGTATTTAATGAGATTTATTGATATGTGAGATTTTATCTAAAAGTGTCTTATTAGTATTTAATAACTAATAAACTTCCAAAATAGTTGCTAATGAATTATAGACTTAATAAACTTCTAAATTATAATCATCAAATAAATTAGCAAAAGGACTTGGGAGAATGACAGATAAGAACCTTAACTTGTAAGAACATTAATGTCAAATTAGGAACTTTAACACTGAAATATAGTAGAAGGAATGCTAAAATTTAAGAACATTAGTATTGAAAAGTCCTAATTTTAAATGAATGCTCTTACAAGGTCCTTATTTGTCATTCTCCCAAAGGACTTACTAAGCTAACAACCTAATAAATGCGTACACAGGTTTAATACCTAATAAGCAGGAAATAAAAAAATGAAAATCTTTATTTTTTAACCATTAAAATGAAAATCTTTATTAAAATAAACAAATTAAATGTCGATGAGATCTTGAATTGGCAATCAACTATTAGTGGAGTTGAAAGTAAGATCAGCTATGATCTGGTACGACAACAACAAGATGATGAACTACTCCTAAGGATTGGGGCTGTCTTCCAATGCACATTTTGGATGGCAAGCATGCTTGAAGTATTTAATATTAGGGTAATCAAGATTAAACAATACATGAGTTGCATTGTGGTAACTTTTAAAAACAATGAGCAACCCTAAAAAAAATTATTTAATTATTTAATAAGCCATCAATTAGTTTGGGCACTCGGCCTCTTTAACAAGTCATCAATTCAATTAATTAAAACATAACACAAAACATTACCTATCAAGAAGAGCAAATTGCAAGGCAATAGTTGCACGGCTCTTTTCTTTGATAAACTGGTACTCATTATATGCCCACCATGCAACAAATCCACGAAGAATACAATCAAATGAATTGCCACTTACAAAAATAAAAACAATACTCATTTAGTGACTTTTCAAAATAATCATAACAATAACAACAAATGCAACTATTGAATAGAAATTTCAAAAGAAGTATCAATTAATACTCACCAATTATCAATTATTGTAAAATTAAACTAATCAACGTATGTCCCACGATGTTTGACTAGGTGATAGTCACCTATCCTAAATATGAAACCAAAAACATTTATATGATAAATTCTCTAATTAGAAACCCAAAAACCATAAATAAAGGATACAAATATCAAACGTTGTATCAAGAGCCTTATAAAATTATAAGTAGGTTCTTAATCATGAAACGTGTGATTAAATCTCGATATAAGTCACGAAATCTCAACCCAAGCTTGTATTATATTGCCCTAGTAAGTGAGTTAAAGAGTTAAACAAATGATATAATACCCATCATTAAGAATATTCAGTTGATTGCACACAACATGAAAGTAAAAGGTCAACTGTAGATAAAAAAATCATACTTTCATATCAAATACAATGAAGTCAAAATTAAAATACATCACAGTTGATCTAACTTTTGATAAAACCTCATACACCCTAACAACCTACAATTTGATAAGTTAGGAGTAGTGGCCATGCTCTAACTTGGATAGTAGCACAATATCAATGGAGCAACCCATTGAAAAAAAATGCTTAGAAGTAAGAACACACCAACTTGATAGAAAGTTAAAGAATATATGAAATTGAACTATCACTATCAATCTATCTACATATAGAGAGAGAGAGAGAGAGAGAGTAGTTCAATATACAAGATTGGAATATTCATGCAAACCTCAAATTCATATATCCACATTCAAAACAAAATCAATTATGAGGACAATGAATTAATTCACGGATTTAAAAACAATCAAAGTAATAATGCAACTTACTTCACAAGTTTGTACCAACAGCAATCAAAGTGAGATTTGCACTAATAGTAACAATCAAAGTAATACGCCACCAACTTATTTCCTTCATAATTTATTATATATAATTTTTTCCATAAATAAACTCATTGCATGATTTCAATTTTCATTAATACAATTATTATAATTTCCATAAATTAAATAATCAAATCAGGAAATTAATTGATTGCATCTATAAATATTTTATTGAAAAATTATTTGGCTGAGATATCCACGTGTTAGCATCAAAGAAAAAGGTGGAGCTGACATGGCTTCACAATACGTTGACATGTGTGCTTGGAAGTTCTGATTTTATACATATATAAATTACATAAGACAATTTTCTTTTTAACAGTATTTGTTGTCTTATTAGTTTTTACACCATCATGGACCACATAATTATAGTATATAATTCATTATGGAACAGCAGCATATGTTATGTTGCATGCAATGCTTATTTCAATTCCTACTGAGGCAAACAAAAGAGGTGTGTATCTGCTGGAACTTTTGCATTTGCCGCGAAGAAAACACACAGCAAAGCCAACAATAATAAACAAATAAATAAAAATGAACAAAATGAAAGAATTATTCATGAGACACAGCAACACATCAATACACACAACAATCAAAATTCGCCAATCTGTTTCATCTTCAATGAATAAATCTGATCTCTTCAATTCACTGACTTGGCGAGCATAAGCCGCAACAGCCTTGGCCCATCTTCTGATCTCAGCCTTCACCCTGTTGGAGTCCATGTCCTTCAGTTGCTTTCCTGGTTCCAAAGAGACTTCCACGAAAGAGAGTCACTGGCTGAAACGCCGTCGTTTCCTGGCTTTGTCCACAACTCCGCCATTGAGAGAGGCGGATTTCTTAACTGACATGGCTGCTGTTTGTTCAACACTAATTACCAGCAGCCAGAATAGTCTGATATATATTGTATCAGACGAAATGTTTGCGTGAAAGACTAGTCAATTACATCAAGGCAAGTAATCATAAGATTCTAATGCGTGTATTCTTTTGCTTTCATTGACCCTAGACTTCGTCAGCATCCCTACAATGGATTTGATGGCTCCCAGAACATTCAAATCATCACTTGCCCCAAAAACCTAGCAAAACGAATTAATGTTTTTTATTCTAGAATAAGTTCTAGTCATTCCAGAGAGTTTGTTGACAGCTAGCATCAATGGCCAATTTTTTTTAATGGTAGAAAGAGTAGGCTTTGTCAACAATAAAAATTATCTCCCCCTAGATATTTGTTGATAGAGCGCATTTCAAAAAAATTGAGAATGGGAAAGCACTATTTTATCAATAGCCCATTTCATGCAAAGAATTTGTTAACACGTCTTAATAACCAGCCATCATACAAGTATTGACCAAACTTGAATCCTTAAAGGCTAAGTATTTTAAGATCAAGCTTGCTTTGACCCGAAGCTCTAGTTTCATCAACTAAAATTTGAGAACGAAGAGGATAGCCATTTCTGTGAGATTCTTATAAACTGTATTTGTTGTGTTGTTAGGCCATTATGAAACACTGGCATATATGTATATTATTAATTTTCCTAAGAAAACTTGAAAAGCATTACTTAGATAAGAATGCTATGGAAGAATTAATGTCTTGTGATTACATTAAAGAGATTGCCACAAGTCATCACAGGTTTTTCTGGACAGTGTTAATGTGTCTTTAGTTTTTAATTTGTGAAAAGTCCATTCACCAAACATTTATTCGTCAGCCACCAGGCATTTGGTTTAATTGGTAAAAAAGTTATACCAATTTAACTAAAAATATTAGGTTTGAGTCTTGAAAATCTAACAGCATTAGTGCTAGAGTTTTCTTTTGCTCAAAAAAAAAAAAAATAGTGCTAGAGTTTCCGTACGAGGTCCCATGCTCACTTAATTCAGGTTAGGCTCCCATTAAGTACCCTCAACTCAATATAAGACAATGCTCCCACAAAAAAAGTTCATTTATCAAAATTCAATTTAGTAAATGTTATTTATTATAATGAAATTTATGTCTCGATATGATTTTGAAAAAGTTAACTTGATAAAAAGGTAGTTGTTATAATAGAATTTATATTTGGATATAATTTTAAAAAAATCAATTTAATAAATTGAAATTTATTTAAAAAGTAATAAATAATTTTTTTAATTAAAAGTAACTGAAAGTAGTTCATAAGTGAAAACTGACAAGTAACTTTTGAAAAGTAATACAAATTTATTTTTAACAAATGAACTTTTCAGAATATATTTTTTGAACAGAAACAAATTACCCAGACAATTTTTAGTCACCTAAAAGGACACTTAGTTTCTCAAAAGAACTCATGGGAAAAGCGCAAGTTGTAACCAAACATATGTAGCCCTGAAACATATATTAGTAACGAATGGAACCGTTACTTTGGATTGCATTTAAGAAACAGCCAATGAATGCACCACGTTGCTGGTGAGATCTGCTTAAGAATTTAATGGTACGTAATATTTTATATTCTCCTGACTCTTCTTCTTCTGTATAAGGTAGAAAGCTAGAGGATATTGCTGAATAGTGAGTCTAACTCTCTGTGCTTTTGCATGGTCATCTCCATAATCCTTTCATTAAAAGGTAAGGAACATGATAATGTTTATGTTGGGATATGCTTGCTCCATATATAATGATGCATCTGCTGAAATCTTTGCATGCACTGAAGAATAAAAGGTCACTATTTCATTATGAGATGCAAGTTCACACCCTTATTTTCTGATCCTGATCCTTCTTCCATAGCAGAAGAATTAAGCACACATCAAACCCAAAAAGAATAAAAGAATCATACAGCAACATCTATGTACACAACAATTTCTCACACCCAATTTCACCAACTGTTCATCTTCAATGAATAAATCCCATATCTTCGATTCACACAATCTGTTCTGACAGTAACTATGTCTGAGATTTGCCACGAGAACTACTTCCAAAGCGGCCACTGACTTGGCGAGCATAAGCCACAACAGCCTTAGCCCATCTTCTGATCTCAGCCTTCACCTTGTTGGAATCCATGTCCTTCAACTGCTTCCCTGGCTCCAGAGATACTTCGACGGAAGAGAACCACCGGTTGAAACGCCGTCGTTTCCTGGCTTTCTCCACAACTCCGGCAGCGGCCTTTTCGCTGTTGAGAGAGGCGGATTTCTTTACCGACATGGCTGCTGATTGTTGAGCAGCCAGAATTGTTTGATAATATATTATGATATGATGTAGGAGACAGAATGAGGTCTTATATAACACAAGTCAATTACAGCAAGGCAAGTAACCCTACTATTCTAATGCGTGTACTCATTTGCTTCCATTGACCCTTGGACTTCGTCAGCATCTCTGCAGAGTATTCGATTGCTCACCAAGTTACAATACAATTGGCGCCTAACTAAATATTCCAACCGAATATTTCATACATACTTGGTATATTTAATGTCTTTTTTTAATCAAATCAAAACAAATTGATTTTAAATCAAATAAGAAGGTATTAATAATAAGAATTAGGTCCCGTTTGGTACATTAAAATTTTGGCCTTTGAATTGGAAATGGAATTCAAAAAATAGTTAATTTGGCATACTAGAGTTTAATTCCATGTGAAACTCAATTCCACCAAAATTAGTGAAATTGGCTTCCATCACAAAAGTTTATTTCCTTTTTTTTTTCCTCCAATTTTTTACTCCTTCCTCTCTCGTCTGGCTCTTATCAACCTTCTCATTGTCGATGAACATCTCAGCATCGAGACCTCCAACAACTATGAACGACGACGAAGATGAACAAGATCTATGAACAACGAGTACTAGTCTCCTCCATTGACGGCAATCAACAAGGTCACTATGGCTTGTTCTTTAGAAAGTTTACTACAAAAATGGGGATCAAACTTTGACTATAGTGAATTGGGTTGCCTTTTATTTCTCAAGTGTTGAATCTAGATTGAGTTTCTTTTGATTTCTCTAGCGGTGTTTTGGAGAAGGGTGGCTATGAGTGTTAGTCTTAGATTTTTCGTTCGAGTAAATGATATTTTGGTTCTTTTACACTATGAATATGTATTTTTAATAAAAAATTATATCAAAATTCTATGAACATATCAAATATATTTTAAATTTTATATTCATTTTCATTTCAATTTCTGTTTTAATTTCCATCATATCAAACTGCTCATTAGTTATAAGATAAATGGGGAATTTGTAAGGATAATGTATTTCTATTGAAGGAGAAAATGTATCTTTTCTCTCTCAATGAAAGCAGGCTATATTGGCCAACAAAAAATGAAAACACGCTAGTAATTTTGACATATTAATCACACAATTAATCATGGGATGTAACAAAACGCCCTGTATTCTTTACAGGATCACAAATAGTTCCTTAACGATATTTAACATTTTTGATTTTTTTAGAAGAATCTGTGTCGGTTTAAAATTGATATATAATATTATAACTATAATTAACATTAATTCATTCCAGAAGTAATCCGAATTTTCCTCCCCATATATATGCACCACTATCAGTAGGTAAGCTTTTTTTTGGGCCAACATAGTAGGTAAGTTAAAGCTTCGCTTTCGATGTCTAGTATGTCCTTTCTGTGGGGGCAATATCTAATATTCTTTCTCCTCTCCCTATTCATTCAAAGATCATAAACACATTTTGTAGATTCCATGTATAGAATCTGCAATAATTGCTCAGAAAATACCAGCAGCCTCTTGAGGACATCTTCCTGAGTTGACTTTAAAAACTTAAAACATCATGGGTTGTCGATAACCAGGTTAATGGGATAAAACAAGTGACTTGGTAACATGGCAACCTAAAACAGGTACAAGAACAAAACAACACAATAATTCAACCCGGAAGGGTGCACGCCACTAAGACCACAAGTACGCAAGGCGTAGCGAAATTCTTATGACGCACAATTGAGGCGGTGTACAAAACTTCCTTCTATTAATTCTTGGGTCCAAAATTTTATCCATAACTTGACAATCCATAAAGAATGAATTTACGATAAAGTGACTTGACCCATAAGTCTGGTTTTCAAAACATTAAATAGAACCAAATAACGGCCCACCTGGTACTGTTTAAAAGAATGTCCCATGTTTTGACAAGAGCAAGATTTACATTGTCATTTTGAATTATATCAATAGCCAAAAAGAAATTGCAGTAACTTTATCATGATGCAAACAAATCCATCAAGTCAGATGCTGTAACATGGTAGTTCTGATTCGAGAATGAAAAAAAAAATTGCCAATCATAACTGAACTCAGAAAATCTAGTGGACTGCTGGGAAACAGCAATAAAACTACATGGGGCAAAATGGGGATTGGACGCAATTAACTTCTTGATTCACTTCCTAGCAGGAATCTTCACAGCCTGCCTGTTCCTCTTTTTGACACCAGACTTGGCAACTTTGAGGCTCCTATGAACGGCACTCAACCTTGCAAGGGCAGCCTTCTTGAGATCAGGCCTGTAGTAGTTATCTGCCACCTGCAAAATTACATGGCATAACTAACTTTGAACGAAGTTGCAAATATAAGAATGTAATAAAAACTGTAAAGTGGATGATATGAAAAGCAAGGACTTCACATCAATGAAGGTGAGAAGAGGTAAAAAAGACCACACACGGTGAGTCTGAGTTCATAACCCCATTGAACATTACTCATCAGCATAAAATCAGAAAGGAATCAAAGGAGCACGTACAAGATATAACTTCTGAATGACAGAAGCTCAGAAGCCAAGCGTAACAGGTGTATTTCACAGAAGATGCCCAACTAAGGATTCTTCTTACATGTTAGAGGCTCATCACAGCTGTAAAAACTAAGCTTTACTGGAAAACGATAAGATACAACTAATTCCCTGAACAAACATACATCTCCCAAAAAAAAAAAACTTCTCCAGATCACTCAGACAAGGTGAAAAGGCACTTTCAACATTGGCGAGCCCAACTGATGCACAACACAATTTTCAAAGATGGAATTACGTGATTTTTTTTATTTATATAAAAGAATCCCCTATTTTGCACCTATGAAATATAATTGTTTAACAACTTGCGCCCTATGAATTATTTAACAATAACTTGGCCAATAAAGTAAACAGTGAAATTGAATTGACATTTAGCTACTTCAATTGACAGAATACAGGAATGCAACAGTTGAAATAAGTTTGATAAAATTCTCTCCGAAATTTTAAAATTAAAAATCCAAAGATCTTAAATATGGAAAGGAAGAGAATTGGAAATAGCACAGAACAATAACTCAGAATCTACACCACAAATATGCATAATCAAAAGCCTTGGAAGAGTCTCCAAACAACTAAAGTAGTATCACTTTCAGCATGACTTTGCGTTTTACCCAACCTGGTTCTGTACAGCTTTTGCCATTCTCCTGAACTCCTTTTTCATGACAGACCTATGAAGCAATGCAGCTGGCTTGTTCTGCTTCTTTGTCTTGGTCGTTGCCAGCAGCACAGATTGATCTTTGCCGCCAGGCTGAATAGTAATAGTTTTCTTGTTTGCCAAACCTAGATAGCAGTATAGAACCAACACAAGTGAATCACTAGGATTCTGCATGCACAAATTTCCCAATATAAAGCCAACTCAAATATCAGCTTTTCAACACCGACACTAAGGACAATATAAGAAAATGCAATTTTTATGCTAATAAACCAAGCTCCGTCAATAACTCATTTCAGATTGCCACTCCTATCACTAAAACATCATATTTGCCACCAATTCGGAGTTCAACAATGAAGTTATGCTGAGATAAACAATCCATAATGTACTCAGATTTCTGGATTTTATTTTAAAAAACCAATTGACAACTAAAAGTATTTAAAGTCCCCGCTTCTGTTATCGGGATAGTAGATTTCCCAATCCGTCAACAGAGAGTTAAACAAATCCCACGAAGCTATATATCTAATAGCATCCAAATCAAAATTCGGCGGGGAAGGTAAGTTGATCGGACAATTGCCTACCAAAAAGAAGCAGAAAAATTACCAGAGTACTTGAAAGAGTTAAGGTTGTAAAGATTGTTGCTCTCTTTACTGAACTGCACGCTCTGAGTCCCCCTACCAAACTCCTTCACCAAAAAGGAGTTGTTCCTCTTAACGATTTCCCAGACGAGCTGCCCTGGTACCGTGGCCATATTCTCCACACCTGCAAATGCAACAGAACAGATTCAAAATATCTCACGCAAAATTCAAGAGGAGCGAGATCTCGATAACACACTAAGAAGAGAACCTGTGTTGCTTTGGCTCGTCCAAGCTTTGAAGCGGGAGGCTCGGGAAAGAGTGAGAGGGTTTAAGTTCGTTTTACGATTTATACTCAAAGATGACAAACCCTAGCTCAGCATTTCTAACGAACTAGTCCCTAAGAGGTTCGGCCCATTGACCTGTGTGGGTCTACAGTTGAATAGCCTGTTTTGCAACGCGAGATCCAAACAAGTGATGTGCGCGTGCGTGAGATATGTATTTCACCAGAGAGTTTTTACCGTTCAAATAAACGATTCGTAGTTAATGGTTTTTTGAAATATCAAATAGGAATGAATTGAAATTGACTGTAAAATCTATTCTAATTTAACATAGTTTATTGATTTATTTTGTTTAAATTTAATTATGTTTTTTAACAAAACATTTTATTCTTGATTTTGAAGTCAATTGAAGAGAGCTTATAACACTTGTTTGGTATACATCCCTTTTTTTTTTATTTGGCAACGTTCCCAGAAAAAACAAAGATGTATATAAAAAACTGTAAAAATTGATAATTAAAATAATCATTATGTGGGGTGGGGGTGGGGGTGGGGGTGGGGGTGGGATGGTGGTTAAAGGTTCAAACTCTCTTGATGCGTCAAAAAGTTAACCATTATATTTATATTTCAAAAATTAAAAAAAAAATAATTAAATAATAACTATAAGGAAGTAAGAAACATTCCACTATACCTATTGTTTAAAAAGAAATCACCGAGGCGAAGAAACCAACACGAAGACACAAAAGTAAAAACACATGCCGTCAAAGTTCAACAAGTATTTTTGTCCAGTTCATCTACAAAGTACAGTATTAAAAACCAAATTAATCTAGCTGATTGAACTGCTAAACCACGGAAACATTTCCTCCGATCCAATGAAATATTTTGTTTATAACCAATCTAATCATGATTTAACAACAATTTTAATCATTAATTTTAAATTAATACTTTGATCAGTTCAATGATTAGTCTAACTTTCAATACCTAATCCAAAATTTTATTTAGTTCCCACAACTTTCTACTTCTATGTTCAAATCTACCACAACTATCAACATACATATCAAGAGAGAGGTCAAGTATGAAACGACTGTTGTTTGATGACTGATCCAAATGTTCCCACAATTTCATTTCAGTTGTAGACTTTTAACTAATAAAGTTCAGGATCCGAGTACAATATGAATCGTCAAAGTTATTTGAGCTTCCTACACAGCCTGACTAAGAAAACCTAATATCAGGTCAGCACACCTAATATTTGATCATCTTTACACCTCAGCTAATGTTACATTATTTACAGAGCCTGCCAAGAGAAGCCTCAGATGATTTAAACCCCTATCAGGTTTACACAGAAATATCCTCAAATTGTACAAAAGTTTCACCTTCATGGCAAGAGTTAAGTGCTGCAGCAAACTGTGCATAGTTAAAATAAGTAGAAAATCTGTCTAATTACTAAGGGAACCAATCCCCGATGCAATCCTCTTTCTGCAATCTCTTCCCTGATACTCAAGTCAAGGGTTGGATGTTGGTAATATGCGGTATGCCGGCCGGGCCTGACCATTCACTGCCTCATTTATCCTGCTAAAAACCACCTTCAGGGGTATACATGCTATAACAGGACCCTTTGGCTTATCAACCACCGGTTTTCTGTCCTCATCCAATTGCTTGTGACCGGTCAGTGATGATAATTTCCTGATCTTTTTGGACAACAGCCCAGATTTCTTCGATCTGGAAGATTTGCCAGGTGAAAAACGAGGAGAATTCTTGGAATGTATTGTTCCTGTTGCTGAGTTTGGCTTAACAGCACAGTATATGTCGCCAGCTTCTGAGTCACATCTGATGCTACTCAGCAATTCATCACAATGACCATCCGCCAAAGTCTCGACTGTAAGAGGGTGCCCAACAATTGCTTTACCATTCAGTTTACTCATAAGAGAAACCAAAGGTACATGCTGAGGCCTATAGCTGGCTTTAACTTCAAGTTTGACTTCATATAATGAGGCATCAGAAAAGTAATTTCTGCCAGGGAAATCCACCGTTTGATATCTGGAATTGACAGTAAATCGGGATTGGCGATAAGGAAGCAATCTTTGAGTCACGACTGATCCATCAGGAACTAACTTCGTCCCAGTTGTTATCCCCCACATGTGCTTGCTCACATCATGAAATGAATCAAGATGACTTTCAGCAGCTGGTTTGCACTTAGCCTGAGAGAGACAATTATACGAAGCAGCCGGTACACTTAAGACATTTAATTCAGCTTTAGGACCAGTAACCCGAGAGAACCCATCTGGCTTCTCAAGACCAGCCAAATAAGCAGTGGGTTCATTATCCATGTCCACAAATTTTCTTGAGCCTTGTTTTCTATTTTTACTTCTACGTCTAGAATTTCTTTTTCTTTTTGACTGCCACTTTGAACTACTTTTCTCTACTCTATTGCCAATAGTATTATGACCAGCAGCTGAGCTGGTAGGACCAGATTCATTCTGTCCCTCCTTTAGCAGGGCTTCTGATTGACCAACAGGACAAGATTGTTGTCCAAACCTAGCAACTTGAGGCTTTCCTGATGAACAAGAACCAAGAATAGGTGAGAAACCTAAAAGATGGAATTACATCAGCATTAAGGAAAATTGGCCCCCCAGGAATTTTAAAAAGTTCAAACATACAAGGGTGCACACAAACAGCATGGCTATATGGAAGCAGATCCACAGAAAAGAAACATTCATGGGTGGCAAGAAGATCTAACTGAGAAGAAAAATGGTAAAAGAAGGAAAGCAAGTTTTATTAACATCAGCATTGACCTATTTGATTAATCAGTTAATAGTTCAAATCTGTATACCAGGAAAGCCACTCTACTAGAAACCATCAATTTGTGTCATAACTTTGGGATACCAAACCATGAAATCCAATAGAAGCAGTTTAAAAAAGATCTAATTGAGAAGAAAAATGGTAAAAGAAGGAAAGGAAGCTTTATTTACACAAGCACGGCTATGTGGAAGCAGATCCACAGAAAAGAACCATTAATGGGAAAAATGGTGAAAGAAGGAAAGTAAGTTGTATTTACATCAGCATAGACCTGTTTAATTAATCAGTTAAATACTTTGGATCCATAGACTAGGAAAGCCACTCTTTTTTTTTTGGGCCAAAAGGAAAGCCACTCTACTTGAAACCATCAATTTGTGCCATAAGTTTGGGACACCAGACCATGAAAAGCAATAACAGCAGTTGAAAAACTCAAAAGGGGATATGCGTGTATTTGAACAAATTAAACTAAGCATGAAAAATAGTAAAAATTGATCAAATCCTAGTTAGAGAAGTCCAGAAAAAAAGAAAACTACCACCCAAGATGATGCTATAGTCAAATGACCTGATTTATGAAGCCGGGCAAAAAGCCATCAAAAGGGAAAAAAGAATCTTTCCTAAAAGAAAAAAATAAAGGGCGATATTGACAAAGGAAGCATTTAGAATCTCATAGGACAAAGCACATGCACAAGAAAATCCGTATTTTAAAGTACCATATTCAATCATACCTGGAGTATGTCTCTCCTCTCCCAAAACTCCAACAAATGGCACATCAAATAATTTATCAGAAGAATCAGTCCCAACCAGCCCTGCAATGCCAGAAGCATCATTCTCCTTGACATTGTGACTCATTTGGGATGCATCATTGCCATGCTCAAGAGCATTTAAAGAAGTCCCCTTCTCACATTCAACTTTGGTACCATCCATATTATGTGTAACCAGCGGAGAGCTTTTCTTTGACTCATTGAAATCTAATGCTGAAATTCTGCTATCGGGTATACCACAAAGCGGAGAACTGCTTGAAGTAGGAAGCTGATTGCAGACAACAGGAACTGATACCATGGCTGTGCTCTCCAAAACCTTTGTCAAAGGCCGGCGTCGATTTTTTCTTTTCAAGAATTCATGAACAGTTGCGACCTGTGTTCTCTTCCTTTTCAGCATTGAAGAACTAGTCTTAACCCCATTTACAGAAGTTCCATTTGCCAGGCAGTTTCCTGTGTTTAAGTTGCTGGGAGAAGAACTATGTTGCTGAAATACAACAGTTGTCCCTGCTCCCTGGACCTTTCTCTTTGAGGCTACACCAATACCAAGGTCTTCAAGTCCCCTCATTCGCTTTACTCCTTCTGTTCCATCATCTTCCGAATCATTAGGGGTTTTTCTTCTTCCCTGAACAGACAGCATCTTGGAGGAACTGTTGTGATTTGGCTCTTCAAAAGATATACCAGATTGAGATAACTCTGGAACTGAATTAGAATTGTTTTCGGAATCACTCAGACCATCAGCCACATCCTCATTGTCATCCCCAGAATTAGATGAGTCTGGTGAGGCTCCAGCTGAATCACCATGTTCACTAGTTGATTTGTCTGCTCTTGAGTAAAATTTTAATGGTTCTTTACCCAGGCGAGAGCTCTCTATCTCAAGAGCATGGAGAATAGCATCTTCCCTGCGAGCATACTTCACAGTTTTCTTATTTGAATTAGCAGCAGCAGCCTTTGCCTTCTCAATGCATTCATTGTACTCTCCACAACGGAAAGCTTTAACACGCTTTGATTTTTCAAGATTATACCAATCCCTAAATCATGAAGGAATTTGCCAAAATCAGACTGCAAGCAAGGATCAATAAATCACCACAATATTGACAAAACAATTAAAGAGACAGTTAAGTTAACCTCAATGAATAAAAATACAGAAGATCTATAACAACACATATCTAACATAAGAAAGACTAAATTGTTGCTAAAAGGAAAAGCTACATTCAAACCATTGGAACAAAAACCCAGTAAAAAGATTGTTTTTATTCTAGAATGAATTCTAGTCATTCTAAAGAATCTGTTACCAGCTTAACTAGGCAGTCAGAGTTATAAAATAAGAGCCCATTTGGTATATAATGGGAAAGGGAAAGCTCTGTCCCATAAATATGGAAGCTTTGTTTGTTACAAAGCCACTTTGCCATTTACCAAACATAATAAAAATACTTTCTCTCACCTATTCCCTTTCTTCAAACAACTCTTCCCTGTAGCAAACACACTCTAAGAACTGACAACAATACAAGGACAAGTTTCTCATGCTTGAAGCATGACATGCTACAACATTGCCAGATATACATGACTGTGAGACCACCATGTTTAATTACTCATCCCAGGAATGTTTCTCCACAAAAATCAACTAAACAACCAAAAACACAGAAGGAATTGGAATTCAACATATAAAGGAAAATAACTTAAATCTCAATAAAGATTTCACTGTTTTCTGTGACCAGGATATGGCTCAAATATAGCAATAAACTGCTACACTCTAATATACTTCAGTCCATGACACTCCACTCAACTTCCTTGCCAGCTAGAACCCTCCACCAGTCAGAACTATTCGTTAGTAGCCCTTTCTAGAGTCATTGGCCATCAGCTCTAGTACCAATTGATGGGTACTCAAACGAGATGGGAAACCCTCCCCCAAAAGCAAGTTATTGAGGTGGGAGAACTAACCCCCTCAAATACCCCATAAAGCATCACATGCTACTCAAGTCTCCATCAAACATTCATAACAAGTAACAACTAAAGACCACAACAACAATAATGCATTTCTCTTACATGATAAAAAAAGTTCTTGATTTGAAAAACAGGTTCTAAATTGATTATTTTCAGAGGAACGAAGGTTCCAAGTAATAGAAGCCCAGAAGAATTTATCATATCCAAGCCACACAGAGAGAGAGAGAGAGAGAGAGAGAGAGATAATATGAGAAAAACCATAAAAGCTCAAGCAGCTAGCAATGTTATTCCAATGTCTAACTAAAAATACAAGTACTTTAAACAAATTTGCACGACAAAGGTACAAAACTGAAATTAAAATTTTTTATCTTTTCTTTTCACAAGGCAAACACTTACAAAAGTTGTTGAACAGAACTTCCTAGTTAACAATATTCTTAAAAGCATAATTGATGATAGAGCACAATGACATTGTGCAATCCACATAGTTGACTTCACCTGGTAGGATAAGCTTGTTATTATTGTTGTCTTTCACAAGGCTCAAAAGTCAAATAAGAAAAATATTGGAAAATAAACTGAAACAAGATAGAGGGCTTTTCATTGACAGCAATTGAAATGGACGTGACCACTGAAGCAAAATTATATGTCTTCTGTAATAGCAGTAAGTCACATACAACACACCAGGAATCATCCAGCTTATCACACTAATCTCAAAGAAAACTTACACCTAGGCTGTTCTGCTCTAAGAAAAAATAAAACTTGTCTTTTTCATATTGAGATTGGAATATATATCTATATATAATAAAAAAAATCTATAGTAATACTATTCATAAGCCATGAATAGTGCGACTTACCCAGACTCGGTGCAAAATATAGGAGCCACATTCTAATTCTGAGAAATCTCACTGCTTGTCTATCAGTCAACATCGGAATTAAACTATTCCAGAGGAGAAAGAGATGGTACGGGCAAGTAAATTCTTCTAAATAAGGAAAGATAAACCCAACTTTTGGACTTCACATAACTGTATCCCAAATGTTTTAGTTTGCTAGAAGTAAAACTAGTTCATCTGTCTGTACAAGATTGAAAAAATTTTGAGCACCAACTCCAATTACAGCCTTAACAAAGTCAAATTTCCAATCTGATAACAAAAGCATGCCAGTTTGAGAATCTATGAAAGCTACACCAAGGAAGGACAGGATTTATAACAATGGCATATAAATCCCTATTCCATCTTTGGTACCACGAACATTTGCATGTAAATAAAATTAACAGAGCCTCAACACTGAGGGCATACCCCTTACACGAACATGAACCCAACAAGATTAAGATGTGAAGAAAACAATTCTACCCTGCAACATAGATTTGATGGTACAAAACCAAAAAATGTCAGGCAACAATGCACATGTCCAGAAATTCTCCCTTCCCAAGCACTAAATAACTAATCATAAAAATTGCATCATGATATTGGGACGTAGCCAAATCTCTTAAAATATACTGAAAGTTTATTTTAAAAGATCACAAGCCACTGTGCAACGTGAAAACAAAGCATTTTGCCCACAAACCAAAAAAAAAAACTCAAAAATTCTATATGATCAAGCTATTATGGCTCCATTACCTTGCAAGATGAACTTTGAGCATCAAGAATGTGTTTGTTAAAGATGAAATTTGGAGAAATGGAGTTAAACAGGAATAGCAGCAGAATGTTGACAGCATGTTTTCATGCATTGCCAAATTTCAATCCCCAATTCCTCCACTTTCCCTCCCTACCAAATACAAAACTGTAAAACACAATGGAAGGTAGAAGTGATAGTCCTGTTAGGAATATATTTTAGTGGTGAAGCATGAGGAATGATATCTTGGTGAAGGCAACGAAGTAGGGTTCAACACCTGACTTAAGTGTCAGTCATTCCTATGTAAAGAGTATACCATATAACACCAGTACTTGCCTTAATATGAAAAGAAAGATCTCCTTGTGAACATTGATTCTAATTCCCAGAGAAAATAAAACACAACACTGAAATTTAGCATTATCAATTAAACATCAGAAATAATCAAGATAATGATAAGTGAAAGGCAAAAGAAAAAACCACCGAAGCAAAATGCACTAAGGATCCAGCGACACCAATTACCAACATGCCAACACACGTAATTAGTTAGTAGAACGTACAAATACATTACTTGCCACAACATCGCCCGGAAACACTTAACAAGCTCTACATCAACTAGCGTGGTACTAGCACTCAAAACAGAGAAGGGGAAAGACGAGGTGGATGAAACCTCCAAAATTGTGCACAACTCCATAAAAAATTCATAAGTAAAATTAAAAAAATAATTAACCAAAAAGGGGACCAGAGAAGAGCAAGTTCACTGAGTGGAAGGAGTACAAAGTGAAAAGAAAGCAAGAACAAGAACTCACACACTTGCGTCGTCGCGACCCAACAGCTTAACTGGAGTACCCGATCTCGGCGAAACCAAGCAACCCTCAGACAATTCATCGAGACCCATTATCCTGCCAGGCCACCAAGACCCATTTCGGCGTCGGACCCAAACCAATCCACCCACCGACGCATCGATTCCGTTAGTGTTGGATTCTCCCGAACTACCCATTTCACAAGGTGCAAAAACAAACAGAAAAATTGCAATCCCCAGAAATCAATCTCGACCCGCCATTGCCAAACTACCGCAGTCCAGAAGAAGGCCCGAAGCTTCCCTTTTGTTTGAGAGAGCTCATACCTCCAATCCTAAAATCCCAACAAGAAATTAAAAAAAAAAAATCCAATAAACAAGAGAAGTACTTGTAATCTCGCATGCAATGAAAGGGCAGAAAACCCAGAAAGAATAAACACGAAATATCATTCCACTAACAGATACTTGGTCAGAAGAACATGGCAGACGCACCAAGATGGAGCTGTGTTGCAGTGTGGGAAGAAAAGAGAGACAACTAAGGCGGAGGGTTTAAAACGGGAGGAGATCTATAAGAGAAATGGCATGAGAAGAGGCAAATGGAAAATCAATCGCCGCCGAAAGGATGGATCTTTTGCATTTTTTCTGAGTCTGTGTTAAATATATTTTCCCCTCTTTCCCGAATAAACCGTGACCGTTTCGTGCGATTTCCTGATCTTCCTTTGTTGGTCTCTTGCCAGTGAGATACCACCAGGGGAAGGCTGGTTCACCCGCGGCACACCGAGCGTACGGACACCAAGTGAGTGAAGTAGTGAGAGAGAGAGAGAGAGACAGAAAGAGCTGTTCCTGGTTTGTTGATTTGGATCAAACGTCCCTTTGCCTTTGGTATCTTTATCGTCGTATTTGTTGGGGTAGGAAATACGGGAGAAGAAAAACAGCAAATACCCGTATTACATACGATTATATTTATTATACGGTTTCGCTACTTCGTCTTTTCAAGCAACAAGAGTTCTATATCTTGTTCGTTTTTGGAAATTTTTTTTCCTTTACAAGGAAGTAGCTTTTTTGTATAAAAAAAAATTTTAATAAATTAGATGTTCAAGTTATTAAAGTCAGGATATACATTCAAGCTTCAAGCTTCAAGAACATTTATAAAATTATTTATAAATTATTTATTAATAAGTTTTTATATTGATGGTAGGATTTGAACATCTAATTTTATAGATTATAAAGTTAAATTTTTATATATTAAATTTTTTTTTGGTAGGCGGTAACTTTTTAGCACAAGCAAGAAAGAAAAAAAAGATGAAAGGAAGGAAAATTTGCAGTATATATATATATATATATATATTAAAACACGAAAGTTTTACATTTAATAGCATGTGCATATTTTTTAATCGTTCTCCCCCTCTTTGGCTGGAGAGAGGAACGATGGAAGATAGTTGCTAGCTTCTTTGTTTTGTCATCTTTTCACACTTGCTTTTTCTTCCATTCATGAATGAAAATACTTCTGTTTATATTAAAAAAAGGAAGTTACGTATTCAATAGCGTTTAAATATTTCACAATATCAAACTAAATTTTAACAATGGCAAATCCAAATAAAGTAACTAACCTTTAAAAATTCTTTACATTTGCACGAATTTAAATCCAAGTTTTTTATGCTTTAATGACCATAATCCATATTTATATGTATTTTTTTACCAGCAAAAAAACATTGTGTCGTCATGTAATAACATCAACATGCATTTGACCTCATATAGTTAACTCAATTATCAAGGGTGAAATTCAACGTGGATAGAGATTAAAAATTTAAGGGTTTGTTTGATTACTTGTTTAAGAACAATGTTTTAGAACAAAAAAAAGTTTGGTGAGGTGTTTTTGGTTAAAAAATTAATTTTATTTTGTGGAGTAAAAATAAAAATAATTTTTAGATATTTTGTATCTACTATTTTTAGGAACAGAAAGGTGATGAGGAACGAGGTGTCTTCCTTTTTATTACTGACATTTTGGTAAATAAAATAAAATTCGCTTTCAACCTTTCATAACTCAAGATGCCATTCTTTCTCTTTCATTTAAACTTGTTAGGAAAAAAAATTTAAGATTGCAAACTCATTAGTTTATTTCATGAAACTTTATTATTATATCATTATTTCAAATTTTCAAAGGATCTTTTTGAATGAAAACAAAAGAAATAAAAAAATAAGGAGAACAGAAAAATATGAGAATTTTTTAAAAAAAATAATAAATTTCTTTAGTATATTTAGGAGCTTTTTTTCCTAATTTTCTTTCTTTTTCATTTTTCCCGGCGAATGATTTCATAACATGTTCCCCCACTTGTGTTTTTAGTTTGAGATAATTATAGAGTTAAGAAAGGTGTGTTTAGATCAAAAAATTTATAGCTAAGGTTGGAAATCAATTAAAGCTAGTAAATTAAAGTTAGAAAAAAAAAAGTATGTGATTATAATGTGATTTATATTTGAATATTTTTTTAAGTCAGTTGAATAAATTAAAATTTATTTAAATAATTTAATTTAAAAACAAGTTGAGATGTATAATAATAAAAATAGACATGAATTTTATTATGTATATTTTTGTGACTAATTTAATATTTTTTAAAAAAATTAAAATTAAACTTAAAGCAAGAGATTAATATAAAGCCCTTCAGCTTGTATCTCTTCTTTGGGATGTTACTCATCTTTGCCATTGTAATTGTTCAATTTTAAAACAAGAGGCAGAGAAAGCAATATATGAGTTTACTCATCTCGCATTTCTCTTCTTGTTCTCCATCAGGTTTTATTTCTTTTTATTCACTGGGCTCCTTCGGGATTGTTTTTGTTCTCTTTCTGCAGAATATAATGAGTTAGCGATTGAAATTTTTTTGAAACAATCACTCTTGATTTTCAACACAATCACTATGACACTGCTAAGCAAGAGGGTTGTATGTGTGAAGGAGAAGAGAGGAAGAAGTAAAAAGCTCAAGCAAGGCTAAAGCAGAAGAAGGAGGTGAAGATACCAAAGAGAGAAAACTATGACGCACGCTAGAATGAAAATCCCCTTGAACGGCTTCATGAAAAATGCTTGTTGGAGTGTCATCGCTCGTTTAATTTTTTTTTTAATCCAAACAAAATCTAACCAAGTGTTTTATCTCCAACTGAGATTTGGATCATTCCAATCTCAGACCTCAGTTAAGGGGAAGACCATGTGTGAGTTTAGATTAAAAAATTTATAATTAAGGTTAGAATTCAACTGAGATTAATAAATTGAGGTTAAAAAAAAGTCAATGAATGTAATATGATTTATATTTAAATATCTTTTTTTTAAAAAAAGTCAATTAATAAATTAAAATTTTGTTTGGATGATTTAATTTAAAAGTCAATTGAGATATTTAATGATAAAAATAAGCATGATTTTTTTATATATTTTTGACTAATTAATAACTAAAAAATATTAAACTTAAAATTATAACTAATAAGTAAAAAATCTTAAATATTTAAGATGGAAGAGAAGAGAGAGAAAACATAAGCCAACAAATTAATGTAGAAGCCAACGTAAATGTAAAAGCTAGAAATCTTAACTTTAGTGAAAAGGCTCATTCAGAAGTTGAATTTTTTTTGTAATTCAAACAAATTTTTTAAAGCTTTTCTCATCCTAACTTCAGTTGGTCCATCCTAACTTAAGTTACAAAGTAATCCAAATATACTCAGTATCTTTGAATTTAATTATTTTGCAAATAATATTTTAAATTTTAAACTCTTAAAATGTACAAAAACTCTTATCAATTTTTAAATTTTAAACGTCCAAAACCCCGCTGTTAAATTAGAAAAATGGTTGTCATTTTTAAAAATTAAAATGAGTGTCATACTAACATATGACAAGGCCCACAACTATAAAAGTAACGGCCGTTTTTTCAACTCAACAATGAAACTTCAAGTGCTTAAAATTTAAATATTATGGAGAGTTTTTGAATATTTTAAAAGTTTAGAATTTAAAATGCTTTTTTCACAATAATTTAAAATTTAAAATTTAAAATTTAAAATTTATCTATAATTATAAAATATTTAGTTTTATGAACCTAAAATTAAGTATTATTGAGCCCAATTGTAGGTAATTTTCTTATCTCAACGTAGTTTTTCATTCACATATGGTAATTGATTACTCAGCTATCTACTGTTGGTACATGTGTATGTACTTTACCAAACCAAACGTGTATTCAATAATTTGTATTCGTTTATAAACTTGTGGCCACATGCAATGTGGGTCCCAGTTCACCATTTATTTATTCTAACACTGTTACACCTCCCCTGTCGTTTACTTTTCCAGGGAAACACGCATGCATGACGCATGCCAAATCGACACTTATTGTTAAACTTATCAAGATATTTTTTGTTTTTTGTTTTAATTGTTTTCTAACATGGCTGTGTAAGCGTGTCAAATTAGAAAATTGTCAGATGTAACTCTTCTAAAGACTTCCTAATTTTTTTTAATAATTGCATTTGAACATTGTCACTCTTGTCCCAACCATTTGCCTTTGAGGAAATTTGATTTGGGATTGACTATTTTATTCTCAATATATTATTTTTTATTAAAAAATATAAAATATTTTTAATTAAATTATACCTACTAATAAAGTAGTTAGTTATCTTTAATTAACATTATCTTTTTCAATTTTATCTCTATTTATGATATTTTACTTTAAAATAAATATAAAGTAATTTAATTATTAGAGGCATTTTTGAAAACATACATTAATTATGTCTTAAAATACCAAAAAATGCCTTATATTTTTTAACATTTAAATTCTCAAAAAAATGCCTTGAGAAATGAAAATTAAAGAAATAAAAATGTAAAAAAATATAAGCTTTAAAAATATCTTCAGAAATTACATTTTTATATTGACATTGACTATTCTAACTCAAAATGAACTAAATTAAAAAATGAAAATTAAAGAAATAAATTATGATTAGTTATTAATCAATTCTTATTTTATAAAAGGACAAAACTTAGAGTCATTTCACAACCAATCTTCCAATCAAATCTCAACTTGAATTTTATCATAATTATAAATATAATTACAGCCCATTCCATTTAAGTAAATCGTGAAGTGAAAAAAAAAAAAAAAAAACGCCAAAGTGTTGTGGTGCGATTGGGGAATGAGTTATACTGGAAGTAAGGAAAATTGATCTATTTCATCTTTTCAAAAATTGCACAATCATTTTAAATAAATAAAATGATTTACTTCTAAAATATTATTCATACATGTCATCTCTTAAGAAATGCTTTATAATATTAATGGGAGGGAGTCTATATTTACTCTTAATTTCATTTCTTCTTCATCTCATTTCATTATACCCACCAAACACCCACCGCAAGGGTCTAAAAATAAAAGCTTTGAAACTATTCAAATCTTCAATATCAATATAAAAATGTAAAAAATATTAGCTGTACTGCTGAGAGCATATTCAGCATTGAACCTACTTATGATTGAACACACAATACAATAATCAAATTCAATCCTAATATTCTATCTCTAATACAACGTCCTTATCTTTCCAAAGTCTGAAACTTGCAAGCATTTGGATAAGCCACGAACAAATATTTCTCATTCCTGGCATTAATCAAAGGCCACTCTTTCTGTTATACATCTAAACCATACATTATAGATTTTCTTACACATGCCTATTCCAATTTGTTCTCTAAGATTTATATTTCTCTCAAGTATAAAATTATTACAATGCATATTTTACAATCAAATCAGCTCCTTCTAAGTACAAGGTCCTGCATGACATTGAGATTGCAGAGCCAGCATTTATCTTCAAGCTTGTAGCGACCAGAAGCAAGATGAATATCAAGCAATGAGAAGCATTCAAGTTTTGTCAGTATCAATTCCTATACACATCCTTGATCAGTCATGGCTTGAGCAATGGTCAGAAATGCAGAAATAACAGCTCCATGCACTAAAGCCCTGGCCAAGAAAGTATGTAGGTATCAGCTGGACTGCAATTATATGTTATAAAGACTCTAACAAGTCGCACTACTCAGATCACGAACAAAAGTATGAGAAGAGAACCACTAGCTTTTAAGAAATTATGGGTGTCAATCTAGAGAGAGAGAGAGAGAGGTTGTGAGCGAAAAGTTGTGAATTGTGAGTTCAGCGGTCAAATGGGTCCTACATGCAGTGTCTTCTCTAAAAATTGTGTTGTCCATCTATTAAGAAGTTGAGATAATCCAAATCTTATGCCATTTGATACACTAGAATTGAAATTGGAAAAGTGGTGGAAGTGGAATTGTGAAAATGGAGCGTTTGGTGCATTGGAACTCAATTCTCTAAGAACTCAATTCTATCAAAATTGACGGAATTGACTTCCATGCTATACCCCATAGAACTGCATTGAGTTCCCTGGAAGTGAGATATTTTTGACCATTATACCTTCAATTATTTTACCAATTGACAAATTCTGCCCCTCCAGAATTATACCCATATTTCACCTCTCTTTTCCAGATGGCCTACCTCACTACCCGCACATGTAAGCTGCGAATCATGACTCATGTCTCCCCTCCGGCGCATCCACCTCCAATGTTCACTACCGTTGGGCAGCCGTGATAGCGATTGATGCATCGATGCACAACTCGCTTTGTCTCTCAAGCTTCTTTGATCCCAGCTTCTCACGTCATGTAACCACCAGCAACGAGCATCACTTCCTTCTCCACCTTCACAGGCAGAAATTTACGGCAATCCCGCATATTGGGTTGAATCTGCGTTCTTCATTTCTTCCCATATGGTGGATTTATTGAAGTTTTCTTACTTTTGATTATGAGTAAAGCTAGTAGATTTGAATTTATTAGAAGTTTTCGATTATGAGAAAAACCCAATGCTTCAATTAGATTCCACTGGTGGTTTTTGATTCTGGTAAATGGTAGATTTGAATGCTGGTTGTGAACTGTGGATTTCAGATCTGGAAACTTGATGGTGGTTGCGAATGTTTTCCGACGGAATAAGAATTTTTTTGGTTCAACAGCATTTTGGTATTTTCATATTATGGATACATATTTGAATTAAAAATTATACCTCACTTCTATATGCATACCAAACATGTTTTAAAACCTCATTTTCACTTCACTTCCTCTTCCACTTCCATCAAAAACCCTTGATGAGATAAACCAATGATAAATAGTTGTAAATCAAACCAATGATAAATAGATATCAACATTTGAAAGGAATTTTTCAGCGCAAGGCACCTCTGACATGCTTGTATAATTAGTTTGGACTTCAAAGGAATTAAAACAAAAGTAAAATCGAGAGGTAATTGAACAAAAATCCACAAAATAGATGGAAAAGAGGCTAGAGCCAATCTATTAGGTGGCTTACTACAAGAGTTTGGCATGTAGCAACAAGTATGTAGTAACTTGCATGAGAGTGGTAAAGCACTTACTCGGGACTTTCTTTTTGATAACCAAAATCAGAAGCTGCTTTGATGGCTCTTTGATAAGTCTGTTTCATTGCTTCCTGCCAAAGAAAATGGCCACTTTGACTACAGATGAAAATATGGAAAAGATATGACAACAAATTCATCAAGGGGAAGATAGGAAACAAAAATAAAGCAATTGAACTTCATAATTTCCACATAGGGAAACTTCTCAAGCAACTGAATTCCATAACAGCTCACACAAACAAATTATCAACAATTTCATCAATGAATTTACCAAGTCTATGTTCTCCTTCAAAGGAAACATGTCAAGTATCTTGTAAACTCAAATTTAAAAATAACGTAGAATCAGTTGATTTGGCAAGTTCGAAAATATTCCCTTTTAGCCCAAGGATTATGTTAGCAAGGTTAAAAGAAACTTCAAAATGCGCATACAAGAAGCCTGGTCCACAATAAGCTTTCTTCTAAGTCTTTTGAAGAGTTTAAGACCCAAAAAAGAAAAAGCAAACGGAAAAAGAGACAAACACTACATTTAAATGAAGATGATTTGATGCTAACAAGGGTGGTGGTGATATAGGTAGAGATGACAGCGGTCAAGAAGGTGGAGACAATGATCTAACTTTTGAAGATGTTTGCGAACTTTTGTGTATGAGATTTATTATATTGAATGATTATTTATGTTCTAACTTCATTGGAACTTCCATTTTGGATAACAAGGAGCATGGAAAAATTTAGGAAAAACATAACTTTGGGTCCCTACACTTTGCTCCCATTTTGCTATTGATCCCTACACTTTTTTTTTATGGTTTAGGTCCCTACACTTGTGTTTTTTTATTGTTTTAGGTCCCTATACTTTGTTCATGGAGAAACCTAAAATAATGAAAAACAAAAGTGTAGGAACTTAAATTATCCAAAAAAAGTACAGGGACTAATAGCAAAACACAAGCAAAGTACAAGGATCCAAAACTATATTTTTCCAAAAATTTATTTTGAATCAGTATAAACTGAACTGAACTTGAATAAAGTTCCTTGCTTTCTAACTAGGACTTTTTGTTTTTGTAATTTTTATTCATTTATCTGCAGAAGCTAAAATTAGGATCCAAGGAGGTGATACCTGTGCTTTGATAACATGTTGAGAAAGTAGGAAAAAGCAGAAGTTTGGAATATCATTGAAAGACTTAATAACAGTAGACCCATCACCTTGCACTCATAATATGATCACATGAAGACACCTACAACTATTTGCATGTCATACTAGACTTTACAAAATCATTAACTAACTCTGAACCCTTGGCACAAATTAAAATACTGCATTTCTAGAAACAGTGCAACTAATAAACTGGAACGTTGAATGCCGTTCACTTGTACAGAAAATTGATTTGTAAGAGGAAGATGATGTAAATTTGAAAACTGCAAACCTAACAAACCATATAGCAATTTGTAAAAACAAAAACTATGATTAATAGGAAAACCTAACATAATATGAGGTTTTCACAAGTGCTATACCGAATGAATGGAACTGCAATAAGGAAGAAACATAACATTGCTGTTCCCATCACTATTACGAGCCGTACATGATATTTTCACCTCATACGGCTCCTTGAAGGCCATAAATAAGTCTGAGACAGGGCCAGTTATTTCTCTTGATATATCCCTTGAATAGATGGGATTCAAATAATAAATACAGAAAGGTACTTGTGAATTGATCTCATCCCTTAGTATAACAGTCCTTCAAAAACAATTATGAGTAATAGGAAAACAGATCTTGGCGTACCTGCAATTTAGATTCAAAATCCTCTGGTGACCAGTGCATCAAATTGCACTGATGATTTAATTCAAGTTCTCCAGCCACAACCTGCAAGCAAGGATAACATAGGGTCAGATAAAGGGTCCTTCCAATGCCTTAACAACACACGTTCCTGGACAACATGAAATATGCTAATTAATCAGACACGAGCATGTGATCATAATTTTCAATTTGAAATTCTTGCTAGACACAGCTTGACCAGAGCTTTTAACAGTAATATAAGGTTGTTTTGATAATTCCTTTAGACACGCTCATTAAAAGATCATACTACAAAAAAATCAATGAACTGCTATAAAATGCTAAACTAAAAAAGAATGAGACTTTCTAGTCAATTAAACTATAAAAAAACGAAAGTTTCATGAGTATTAGTTACTACTATCAGCATGCCAATATTTGACATCTGCCAAAGGTTCAATACATTAGTAAAGTACTTTTCTAGAGTTTATGAAGTTGCTGAAATTGAGGGGAATTTGAAGAGAATGAGAATTCAGAAAAGGAATTCCATTTCTGAAGAAACTAGTTCATCTTCTTTCCCAAGCCTCATTCATCTCCAAGGCAATTGATGCCTAAATATAATACCTATGTATAAAATAGAACGAATATAGCACTTATGCAATCACATGCACCATAAAGTGGGTATTTGTACACCAGGTCCATCATTATAACATTATCATCATCATCATGGTTATCATCATTGTTTTGATTGACAAGGGTTTCTATGCGTATTGTAGGACATATAAGCTAAACATCACACCCCTCCAGCACCGGCAGCCATAGCAGGAGCAATGAGAACATTAGCTTTCCTCAGAACATCAACTGCCTCAGGTGTACAGGGCATGCTTGAACCTAGGATAGAAGCAATTGGGGAAGTTTCCATTAGTAAGAAAGAAGATAGAAGCAGAACAAAAAGACAAATCCACATTGCATGTTTCAAGAGAAACTACCTTCTACTAGCATACGACATCCTGAATTAACCAAATTGATTGCATCAGACTGATCAATTTCATTCTGGGAAGCACAAGCAAATGCAATATCACACCTTTCATTCCAGGGTTTCGCTTCATCATAATATTTGGATCGAGCATAGGTCTTTGAATAGTCTCTGCATATGCGAAATTATAAACAAGAACCACAATTATGTGGATACTTTCCATTGCAAAATACACGATAATCAAGAGCAAGACAAACCTCAGACTCCTCTGTTGAGCTTTGATATCTCTCAAGAAAGAGACTTTCATGTAATCAAATCCATCCTCATCAACCAAATATCCTCTTGAATCTGAGAAAATATTTAATTAAAAAGAAAAATTGTGTATGCCTTTAAAACAACAGGGTACATAAAATGAACTCAAAATCCTGACATCTTTGACAACTGAAAGAAATTAAAATCTGACTGTCAATATGGTCATGGGTATAAAAGAAACTAAACTTGAAACCTATCAGGGGATAAATGAATACACACAGCAACATAGCAAATGCAGTAGGCGCTATAAATCAGAGTAAAAATTACCTGAAACTGTGATGGGAAGAGCCCCATAAGCAATCAACTTCTCTAAAACATGCAATGCAATCTTTCCAGAACCGCTTATGACACATCTACAGGAAAAAAAAATACAACCAAATGTTCTATAATCACAAGTATGCAAAACCAATTTAAGAAGCAAGCTAGTAGCTAGTAAGTGTAGTCTAGTGGCGAGAGGAATTGGTAGCAAGAGCTGTTAGGATCAAATCCTTGCTTTACCCAAAATTTTAAAAGGGGCAAAAATTAAGCAGCAAATTTCAACTAGACAATCGATTTTTATTTTTTAAAAAATTGAACAATAAATCTAACATCTCCAAGGGAACTTTACAAGGAAAAAAGGTTCAAAAATGTCAAATGAATACAAAAATAGCACCTACAATAAAAAAGGGGTAGCACCTATACTAAATAAACCAGTAGCAATAATCTTTAACAAACAGCTTAAACAAAGAGAGGAACCTTAATCCTTTGAGTTCTTTATTCATGTCAGCGAGTATAAGCTGAGCAAAGAAAACCTGCAGATGGATGGAAACATTTCATTATATCATATTAAGAACTTAAATCAAGTATGCGCAGAAACTTTGGAAAATATTCTTAATGAGAATGAAGAATGGCGCTGCAATGTGGTTCAGACTTCAGAAACAAATCAGACATGCAACTCAGCCATATAATATGATTTCCAGCTGTCTCAGTTTCTGTGACCTAGAGTTTGGGTCCTAAATAGTACGTTGGCAGATATGAGATACAATACTGCTACAAGCCCTAGGGATTGCCATCTTTTAAAGAAAAGACATCCACAGAGCACAGACAGAATTAGTAACATTCGACAGCTTGCTGAGCAATTAAAAAGAAAAACAGTTAAAAGGTCAGCTGCAGAGTACTCCATTCATATTTTCACATCCACATGTAAGATATTAAAATTACCAGGCCATAGCCAGTAGCTTCAGTTCGAAGACTAGAGCCAGACCAAAATATCCTCGGCCCTGTGAAACTTCCCTGCATAGTAAACATACATATAAAAATTACAGAAAAAATTACTTAGTTTTCTGTTCTTCCACATCACTGAAATAATAGATATCTAACAATTTGATGTGTATGACCATATTAGATTTGTTAAAGCACTATAAATGATGCCCTGTACATCTAGTATGCACACTAAGTTTTACACCTTAAAGCAATCAACCAAATAAATACAGGTAAAAGGCAAAGGGATATAAATATCAAGTAAAAAACATTAATTGGTTTCAAAAGAGAAATTAAATTTCCAATTAATGAGAAAAAGATAATGCAACTTCAGATTCAGAAAAACCAGAATTTTCAAGGACAGTTTATGCAACTGCCTCTCTGTTGGGCAAAGTTCTTAGTTGGTGGGTTCTTAAGACAAATAGTTGGTGTCAGGGAATGGACTGTCAAGAGAGATTTCCCTTTCAGCACTGCAAAAGCATTACCAAGTACTGTATTAGATTGTTCATTTTGTGTTGCAAAGTTCCAAATAGCTGCATGCTTACTTTAAGATTATTCTTTAAATCACCATTTTTGAGCTCAAGAGAATATATTGGTTTTCATTGTTGTTGATTAAATTCAAAGGTTTTTAGGGGGAATCATGAAAGTCTGCTAACTACTCCCTCCATTTTCAAATCTAAACAAATTTTAACCAACTCACGCAATTTAAGAAAGTCGGTAAATCTTAATAATTATGTCTAAAATTGAAAATTTTGAATTAAAATATCGTTGTAATTGATGTTTACTATTTTCTCTAATTTAATGATACTATCCATTTATGAGGGGCAATTTTGGGAAAAATGTAATAAATACTTCTTGAAATTTGTAGTTTTGTTTATAAAAAACAATGAAGCATATGGTAGTTTATCTCATAATAAAAATGGAGGGAGTATAGTATATAGTTGTCATATCATTTAAATAAGATCACAATACATGTATCTCCTAGAATACACTTCTTTCTTCTTTCCTGTTCTCTGCAGTGTTCAAACAAGGTACTTCAAGTGAAACCACTGCAAGATATGCAGAGGCATTTATGCCCTTTATTGTATTGATTTTCCCTTTGTGCTCTCTTGGTAGGTTTCAACTCTGATATATTACTATTTCTTTTTCAAGCAGCAATAAAACTTACTTAACTCAGGGGGAAAGAACAAAGAAAAAAAGTAAACTGCCCAATTCAGTAAACATCAAGTACACAAGGAAAGTCACCCTTAGATCCAAGGGATAGAGAGACAGGGAAACATAAGTCTAAATAAATTCCAAAATATGCTATAATTGCCACAAATAACTAGGATCTAGAATGATTGGATTACCTGAAAATGACCAGCTAGTCGTCTATACTGTCCAAAGAGATATCCCATTTCTCGAGTACCAACACCCATCTCCTCTGATGGAAGGTCCTATTTCACATCCACTAAAAGAATAAAAAGATGCTGAACAACTTTGAATGTGCAGAAAGAGATTCCACTTCCAGTTACCTTGTCAGGACCAAAGTATCGATACATCTCATTCATATAGCTTTGGCAGAAGCGCATGGCCTGTCAGCATGTCAAAATAACATTTAGAAATCATGGTATTGCTTGTGAAGATATCAAATGAAAATTGGAGATTAACCTCATTATCACTTTTTCCTTTTGGATCAAAATCACTTCCACCAGCTGCCCCTCCTAATTTGTAAGGTGATAAGGCATTCTTTAAAGTCTGTAGAGGAAAAGGTATGCTGAAAATCTTGAAAGAGGATATTGGGAATCACACTTTTACAGGACAATAAGATAAATTAAAAATTTCTTTCATTGCCCTTCAAGTTTCAATACCCTACAAAAGGGCTTCTTCTATAATTGGAATAAGGGGCATTTCAAGTATTTGTACCACACCCGTTCCACCCCAATTAAGATAAGTGTATAAGCACATAAATGCTTCTTTTTTCTTGCTCCCCCCACACTCCCAATTTGATATCAAAACAAATTTTTTATTGATCAAAGAAGTGAAACTCCAAAACATTAAAACATGCAAGCTCCAAGGTAAATGTGAAACAGGACAAAAAAAAGAGAGAGAAAATATCAATACAATAACACCCCAGCAGTGTTAAAAGCACATGTAAGAAAACAAAAATGATTCTTAGATAGCATTTTATGAAACCAACGATCATAGATGTCCATTCTAAGACACCTGAGTTCTCAAAACCCCCCAGCAGAATATTTAAAAGAACTCAAATTCCAACCCCTCTTCCTCCCTATTGTTGTATCTTTTATCACCTTTCAGCACCAAATCTCCTCAATTCTCTCTCTGGTCTTGCCTATGTATTATCCTTCCTTAAACCTTGTGGCCAGTAAACATCTTTGTTCATTTCTAAACATACATAACATGCGTAGGTGCTCATTATGGTTGCTTATTTAACCTATCATGCGTGCAAGAACCTCTATAACAATCTACATATAACAGTGGTCGACAAATATGCTAAAGATTCCAATTGGTCATTTTTCCACGTAAATCAAGTGTGAAATAGGAAATGGGCAAAATGCTGATAACATTAACATTGGCTAAGTTCTGAAAAAATTATCATAACTTTAGCGTAAAATGTCCTTTGATAAAAATATATTCATAATACCTGTTCAAAACCAAGGAACTTAGCAATACTTAAATTCATTGACGGATGAAAACGAATACCACCCCTGCATGGACCCAGGGACTGGTTATATTGTACCCGAAAACCCCGGTTAACATGGGTCTCACCCCTATCATCAACCCACGGAACTCTGAAAATAATCATGCGTTCTGGTTCCAACAAGCGCTCCATGATGCTGACATAACTGAAACATTTAATGATTTGGATTCAACCAATATCAAAGCATTAGCTTTCTCTATGTTGAAAAATAAATATAAATTCCTTTGCAAGAAACTCACTGTGAATTTTTGGCAATTACTCTTTCAAGAGCATGAACTACTTCCTGGACTGACTGAATGAATTCAACCTCATGAGGATCCCTTTTTAGTGCAGCTTCAACAATTGATCCCGCTGTTTTTGACATAAGAGCTTCAATTACAGAATTGTTAGATCATACACAAAAATGTGTAGATGCAAGCATTTTTAATGAAGACAATAAGGTCATACAATTTCCACACAGACCCTAAGGGACAAAAATAACTCAATGTCAAAGTTTAGGATACCCATGGACTCTGAAGGAAAGGTTCGAGCATAAAAGTGACCCTTAACCCAAAAAAAAAACAATTGGCTTTTTAATTCATCTTCATGAAACTTAATCAACCAAAACAAGAGGAATTAGCAAACATTCTCCATTTATTAATCATCTAAAAGCAGAGAATTTAATATGCAAAATTAAGGGAAATTACTTTAATATTAAATTGGATGAAAAAATTAGGATCCTCTCCGATAACTAAAATAACTGAATTCCAAGAAAAAGTAGAACGGTTCTGGCCAAAACAAAACAAAACCAAAAAAAAAAAAAGGAAGAACAAAGTAAAATAGCAGAAACATTACATTCACGTTAGAGATTTATCTAAAACTAGATTGGCTGTACTTCAGATAACTTCAACAAAATGCAGCAGGAGATCATTTTCCTATAATATTGTAAATGATAGATTGCATCTTTAGCAAAATTCATGTTTTACGAAACATATGATCCAATGTATTCCATGATCATATCAGCCATTGAATAAAATATTAGGAACACACTACAAGGCTATCAGTTTAAGCAAAAAATTAGATACACATCCTAGTGATTAGAGCATGCTAAGAAGGCCAACCTTTGACATAAATGGGCTTGTCGACAATAATTTTATCCTTGGAGGCCATTTGGAGACGAAGAGCCTCTTTGTGAAGCAAACTATTATTGTGTTCTTCTAAGGCACTCATTTGCATATTCCTACTGCCCTCATTTCCATAAGGGTTTCTTCTATGCTTTCTGCCATACTCCCTGCAGACAGAGCAGAAAATCCTTGCTGTCCCATCTTTTACATCAACATAGGCCCATTTGTAGGTGTCTGCCCACTCCTCCCTCCATCTTTTCACAACCTTCTTCTTCCTCTTCACAGGTTGTGTCTTTGACATCTCCTGATCATCATTAGGAAGCTGAGAACCCATCCCCATTTGCTTGCTCTCACCATGCTCTTCAGCAGAAGATTCTCTTGGAGGAGCACCAATTAGAGTTGCATTACCAAAAGAAGGATCATCATCCCCAGGTCCAATTTCTAAATCAATCTCTTCACCTATCTCCCTCACAACCAAATGATGCCTCTGCGCTTGCTGAATCAAATTCATATCATCCATTGCAGAATTCATCCCTACTCCTGTGGCTGGAAGCAACATTCAGCATGACAACTGTGCCCACAACTTTAATCCAATACTCTCTGCTAAGACAATAAACCAAGCAGGTGACTTATTTGGTAGATAGAGGTAAAGAAGAAAAAACAAAATTTCTGTGACATAAAGTCACTCATTCAGCTTCAGAACGCTGTTTGCTTTAATTGAGATGGATCGACAAGAGTTACAAGGCAACAATGAACAGCACCTAAGTGTTGGTCTGACTCTCAACTCCACAAGTTACTTGAAAATGCAGATCATTAGACAGCCGATCTCAAGCAGGAAAATAACAATTATATCATAATGTAGCACATAAAGAGAACAAAACCCCATTCAAGTCACTCCAGATATCCTTTAACGATGATTTTAAACTTCCCAGGCAAGTCTCTAGTTCTTAAAAAAACCGTGACAAACAAAAATCCCGCTCGAATTTTAAATCGCTCACAGTCAACATAGAGATCACAAAATATTCCCCTAAACTTTCTCTCAAGTCCGGATTTAGTTATTACAGCTTTCATTCGACAATCAGTAACGCAAAAAGGTACGGCTGAATACACCAAGTCAAAGCGCAGAAAAGCACAATAGGAATTGAAAAGAAATTTCTTTGCAAAAGACCGACAAGTTAGAAAATACGGAGAATGTTATTTAAAAAAAAAAAAGAAAAAGAATTGAATAAGGAGAAGTTCCCAGAACTTATATTCCATCAGTAAGCTAAAATACCTACGAAATTTGAACGGATAGGGTGGAGTAGAATAGCCCAAGTCAGAGTTTCAGACTCCTTCCTTGCGTATTCTATCCTCCCTCGAATTTGGTTCCGTTGATTTTATAGGCGAGTTTTGCAGACTGGGGGACGAAATTTTCAGTGAGATCTTGGGCCTCAAGTACAGTGAAGGTTCTTTGATGAGAAGATATAATTGAGTGAGACGACACAAGGATGTGATAAAGGAGTAAACTTTATTTGAAGGTGATTGTTGCTGAGTGCAAGTGACTGATTGATTATTCTGGGATTGTCTTTCTTCAAAAGTGGGAAGATGGAAGAGAGAGAAAGCTTGATGAACTCATGGGCAAAAATGGCATACTATAATTAACAAAGCACCCTACGCATGTTTTTCTTTTTATATATGAACACAACAAACACACTATTATTTATAGTAAATAAAATGGAAAAAATTATGCAAGTATTTTCCTTAAAAGGATAGCCTGGACTATCATCATTTTTATTATCAATAATCAATATCAATATCAACATATATCAATCCCAAACAATAACTATTGACTAAATGATTCAATTGCTGGTTTTAAGATAACTAAGTGGTTCAATTCATTGGGTGTTATTTTTTGAAATAAGTATTGTTTATGAAAAAATTGTCATTGAAAAAAATTGTACATTGGAGCTAGTAATTTTAAGTTGAATTGGTTTGTGAGGCTAACTTCGAGATCATAGTATTAAAATCCAAGTTAACTTGATCTGTTGTTGAATTGATAAACCTTTAAACTAATATGTTTATCAATAAAATAAAATGCTTTATTCATAATTACTTAGATTATGATTTTGAGAACAAATACCATAACCAGTTCAATAATTTAGTCAATTTTAGTACCTTGCTTAACATGCAAGGCCCAGCTAAAATATTATAGTTTAGTGGGTAAACTTGTTAACTTGAATTAACTCGAATCATTTCAATTTTTTTAACGTGCAAAATCTAAAATCTTCTACAAACAAGCGCTATTAGATGTTGGAATATAGAGTCAGCGAGACGATGCAACACGAGAACAATGATCTATATTAATAATCCAGCACCAAAAGACCACAATCAATCATTTACTCCTTAAATGCAGCATGAGAAATAATCACTCTTTAAAAGCAATAGAAGCACAACTCCCCAATATGCACAAATCAACTTAAATAAATAATCACAACAGTAGGTGACCTTTCCTTGCTACTTGGATCAAAACCATGCTTCTGTGTTTAGAAAGTTAGAGAAATCATACTTCTGTTTTATAGCAATTTCGGTATGTCTTATGAAAGTTGATAAAAATTAGAATTAAACAACATTATTACCTCTAAAATATTTCGCGGGTGGCACTTTTATGCTTAATTGTTTTCAAATATAACGTGATGCGGTCCGAATCAACAAAGTTTCAAATAGTATTAAACACATACATTAGGTCCCAATAATAAACCATGATAAGTTGCATGCCTATATAGAAAAGCCATTAAATTTAAGAGGACATTTTTGCTTCTCGGACTATTCATAAATGAACAACTAGCACCTCATCTTTTTATATGGATCATATTAAACAAGGAACGCCTAGTTAACATGTGACAACACTATTAATTAACCATTAGTGCGTGCTGACAAACTTTTTTACTGACAAAGTAATGCCTAATTTGAAAGTCAAGTGGCATATCCCTTGTCATGTAGTAAATGCAAATGTTGAGAATTAGTACGAGCTGTAACAAGAATTTGACAGACGAAAAATGAAAAATATTCTGAGTTGTCTTCAATCTCCATGTCAACTAGGTTGGAAAAATGAAAATCACAGAGATATACTGCAAGAAGATTGTTCCTTGTTTGTCTTCCCTTTGTTTCTTAGGATGGAGGATGCTATCAAGGCTTCTCCTGTCGTGGTAGACAACCTGGAATGGCAGGTTAGTTCTGGAAGTTCTATTCCTTTCAGCCATAGCAAATGGTTTCCCATCCGAGAAGGGCACAGAAACTTGAATCTCATTGTTTCTGATTTAATTATTCTTGATCGTGCCATGTGGAATAGAGATCTTGTTGGCTCCTTGTATCCCTCTAAGCACGTTTTCAGGGAATCCTTGCTACTCCTTTCTCATTCTTTGATGAAAAAATAAGCTCATCTGGAAAGTCACCCCTCCAGGTGAATACTCAGTCAAAAAAGGATATCAGATCATCAATCAAGGCTTAGCTCCTGACAGAACTGATGAGGATGTTTGGCGATTCTTTTGGAAACTAAAGCTGCGTCATAGAATTATTCTCTTTAGATGGAAGGTTATAAATCAAGCAGTGCCAACCGCGGACATATTAAGCAAGCACCATATTACAACTTCTGATAATGGTTGCCCTTCCTGCGAACCTGATTCGGAAAGTCTTCTTCATACTTTCTTTCACTGTCCCCATTCAAGAGCAGTGTGGTTTGGCCTAGATGAAGTTGATGATATTGCACAATTTATATTTCGATGGTGTCGCAAAGCCATTTCAGACTGCACTTGGATCAAGATTGTCAAGACTATTCTTGTTACTTCGCAAGTTTTACGGACAGCAGAAATAATGTTGAGCATCACCAGTTATCATGTCCTCCCACGCAAGCAATTCATAAAATTAGATGGACCGTTGCAATGTCCTAGCAGGCCTTCTCTGATCAAACAAGCCCAAAGCAAGAATCAAGTCCAGATGGCAAGGCTACATTTGCGTCAGCTAGCAGAGCCCGCAAAGAAAGGTTTATTTTTGCTGATACAAGGAGTATTGCAGGTCCAAATAGAAGTAAGAATAATGTCTTCACTGGCATTGTTTTCATGATATGCAGTTGGTTGATAGGAAGACGAAGATCTTTCAAGAGAGAAAAATTAAGACCCTGATGCATCTGCTTGTTAAAAATCTTCAAAACATCATTAGGTGGATTACGGAGACGGATGAATTTGGACCTCTGGGTTTTTCTGATATCAATTTGGTCTTCATTCATCCAAAGCATGCCTCCTTTTTCTCCTACAGGGCGGGGAAAAATGCAAAAACCAATACTATCTCCAAGGATATTTTCGAATTTCTCCATCTTTTAAGCAATGTTTTTGTAGAAATTTTACCAGTTTGGAAGAACTTAAATATGCATAATCTATCTCTTAGGCTAGAAGACCTGGTTATGACTGACTAATTTGTATCTTTGTTTGAAATTCAAAAAAAAAAAAAATCTTCAAGTGGTCCATCATCACTGACCCATGAGAATTGCCGATCAACACCGTCGAACAATAACCAGATTGAACAAAGAAAAACAGTTGGACTCCACCCAAAGGGGGGGGGCGATATAACAAAACTAGAATGAAAACAGAATCAAAAGCAGCTCAAAGATCAGAAGGTTGATTGAGGACACTTGACGAAGAAAACATAAAGCGGCAAGTACCTGAGAGAAAGACCTCTTCTGACTTCTGAGAGACATCTCATTCAGGTATTCAATGTTATATACACAGGGCAGGAGTGAGGCGAGGAAGCGGTTAGCGTTCTGGTTATTTTTTATCCAATTCATTTTACATTTAAAAATATAATTTTATTCTTAATCTATTTTTAAAAAGAATAATGTTATTCTTAAATTATTCATCATAATAATATTGCTTTTAAATTCAAATTGAAATAATATTGCCTCTCAATTTAAACATCTGGTAGATAGCGAAACTCACTTTTCATGAGTTAAGTGTAATTTTAATTTTAAATTTTTCTTAAAGGAGAAATGTATCTCCTAAACTAATTAAATCTAAGTAATGCCGTTGCCCCCGCTATTTAAAAATTATAAACATCTGTTAACTAGCAAGAGATAATAAAAAATATTTTTTATATTAATATCATTCCATTCACATATTTTCTAACATCAAATATTCATATGAAAGCGTTTATTTTTATCATGATACTTTCCACTAACATTCCAACAAATCATGAACCATACATTGAGAAGAAGCTTAATTTGCATACTAATTTTCTTCAGTGACAAATATGACAATAGTTGAAGTATAAATTTACACTAATAATACTACAAAAGTAACTCTTGATCTAACATAAAGCATATAAACAATATTGTTGGTGTAAAAAGGTCACTTCTTACCATCTTGAGTAGATCAGCCTATAAAATTGACTATCATAAATAAATATACCCTCTCATATGTATTATAAACAAAAAAGCCTTCTATCATAAGGTGGTTACCAAAAAAAAAATTAATTCAACAATTAGAATGATATAATCTAATTGAAATTTTGACCTAATTCAATCTTAACTAAAGAGAGATAATAAAAAGTAAATCCTACTAACTACAGTTAATGAAAATGTATGATTTTTAAATGGGAAAAGCAACATTACTTATCTGATAATAATTTAAGGGTCAAATTGCACTTTAACTCGTGAAAAGTGCATCATTTTAGCTATAGTAATAAACGTTTAAACAGCAAAAGCAACATTGCTCTAATTTAACTAGTTTAGGGGCAACATTGATACAATAAGTATTTTAAGGCAACTATTTAAAAACCAAATGGACTATTCACCAGAGCCGTTAATGGCTTAATTTTGAAAAACTATTTTTGTGATTGAGCTAGATTAGACCAGAGTTTAGCTACTATTGAGCTAAAAATTAGGGTTAAATTGATAAGCAGAGTAATTTTCAAAAAATCAAATAGTTTTAAATATAATATTAAAAAAAGCTTAAAAATAAAAAAAATATTTTTAGACAATTCACATATATAAAATATGATTTAAGATTTTTTTTATAAAAAATTGACAATTATATGTGCAAATACATATTCTTTTGAGTTTACTTTTATCTAATGTAATCAAAATTCATGTATATTTGACAAGTTACAAATTGTAATTTATAATTTTATTAATTTACATTTATGTTATGTCATTTTATTAACTTATTATAGGTTATTTTCTTGTATTTATTTTATATATATATATATATATATATTTAATATTATTTTTATTTAATTATTAAGTCACCAATTCAACCGATTGGACCGTACGAACTGTGAACTGCTGGCTTCTCCAGTTCAATATCCAGCCCAATTCTAAAAACATTGGTTTAAAGACAACATTGTTCTTCTAAGAATAGTCTAGAGATAAAATTGTACCTAAATCTTAAAAAAAAAGGCCTAATACTGTGTTGTTATGCTAATCACGAAAAAGGCCATCAGAGAGGATTTCTCGACATCAAACTGTAATGGTAATACGCCAAAGACCTTAGAGGCAATCCTAATGAATCTACTATAAACACTTTGTTAACTTCTAGAATTTCATATTATTTCATCATATTTTTCTTAAATTTTAATCCATTTTGCCTCATTTGTATATATTTTTATTGCCCAAA